TTAAACAAGTGAAACACACTGTAGTTTATGGCTAAGTACAGTGATATTATCTAAGATACTTAACAATGATTCTTAAATATTTTTTTTTAAAGTTAAAAACATTCCACAAATAATTCTAAAAGCACTTCTTCTACTAAACAATTTTTTTTTTAGAACATTGTCATCTATTTACAATGTTCACATATGTGTGTCATTGTTTATATTTGTTCAGTTTCGGGAAAACTGGGTGAGAAAATGACAATTCCCTTTAATAAAATATTTAATTCACGTCCCCTTGACACAAAGTATCAACTAAATTGATGGTGTACTTTGGGAGGACAAGAGTAAACAACTTTTTTAAACAAAGTGGCAAACTTCTTAAAGGGACAATTTATTGAAGTAAGTTTTTTTGATTACCTGAAAATCAAGTTGATACTAAAAATATATATCTCCTAACAAAAGTTCACGTAGTTGATAACAACATGACCTGAAGCCAACGTCCAGTGTGGCCAGTTTCATCTTTTGGGAAAGACGGTGATAAAAATAGCTACGACCGAAATAGCGCAATATCCAGGCCTTTAAGTAAGAAGTAAACATGTACAGCACTACACTGTCGACCGACAACATAGTGTCAGTTATACAAGTCTGAGTACACACATAACTCATTCTTGAAATTACACAATACATCGCAAGTAAGAATTATAAATATCATAATATATACCTCTAATCAGATATTTCTGTTCACATTTGGATTTGATTAAGAATGAACAGGTTCAATTATAGAGCATGCACACACTGAGAGGGTGCCGCAGCGGAATTTCAAACTGCAGAAATTACGATATCAATAGGTTTAAACCTAAAACAGATCACTCATTTATAACGATGTTATAGATGCTGTTGGGAGATGATTTTGAATCAAAATAGATGCATATACTTGTATTTCAGAGAGGCTAGACGAATAAAGCGAGAAGTTACCTTCTCTCCTTGACTGCAAAGACATTTTTGTTTGCTAGAAATTCACCGACAGCTGCCGCTAAAACGTACGAGTGTACAGTTAAGGATTTCTCCATTAGGATTAAAAATGCCAAGAAAACATTGTCTCTTGTCAATTTCTCGACGTGAACTGTTCATAGGGAGTATCAAACTATATAATCATGAAGAGTTTTGTGACAAGGTTATAAATAAAACTTACTTCACTAGATTGTCCCTTTGATAAGGAGAGGTAACATTAATTTATATACCTCATGTGTACAGTATCATTCTCATAGGTGTAGTAATTTTGGGGAAGAAGTGCAAACAATGTTTTTAAAAAAAAACATGTTTCTTTAAATCCCCTCAATGTAGGAATACTATAAGAGTACCAGGTATGATTGAAATTAGCGCAGCACTTAAGAAGGAGTAGTGCAAACTAGAATTGTCATCTGGAGGACAACTAATACCCCTCGCAGATAATGGTAGATTATACATCATAGTGATCTTAACCTTGGGGTCAACTTATTGAAAAGGGGAACTCGTTTGAGGTATTTTAGCTCTTAACAAATAGGCGAGGTTTCATCAACATACACACAAAATTAAATTCACAAGAGCGAGTTTTCTGAACAAGTTATTTCACATAAAAGGCCGTAACTCCTTTAAAAAGTGTTGAAATCTGAAATTAAAATACCGGTGCACAAAGTTCTACATAATATACTAATCATTTACATAATATAATGATCATTCAAGTGAAGTTTTAATAAAATCTGCCGGTTGGTTAAGATGGAGTTTTCCGGACAAATTATTTTGCATAAAGGGCCATAACTCCCTTAAAAAGTATTGAAATCTGAAATTAACATGCCGGTGCACAACTACATAATATACTGATTATTCAAGTGAAGTTTCAATAAAATCTGCCAGTTAGTTAAGACAGAGTTTTCTGGACAAGTTACAATGGACGATAGACATCCAGCTCAGACAGACAGGATGATTCCAGTATATCCCCCTTCCCCCAACTTCGTTGCGATGTTTATTACAATGTTTTTCATCAAAGGGGCGTAACTCCAAAAAAATTGGGAGGTAACTCCGATTTATATACTTGATTCACATCCCTAGAATTCTATTCAAGAATTTTGTGTATCAAGTATCATAGACATCAATACTAAAGGATGGCAAACATTATTGTGTCTTAAGACAACCTGATTCCAGTCTACTCCATCCCAAATGACCACAGTTGTCGATGGGCCGTTAAACACAAACAAACAAACCATCCCCAACAACTTTGTTATAAAAAGAAAATCACCATCTTTTGGAGGAGCCTCTTGATTGTCTAATCCTCCACTGAAGCAGATTCCGGTTAGACAGTCAAGAATCTCCCTCTCAAGCAGATTTCTATGTTGTACCCTTAACGTAGGGAAAGATACCATAAATCTGTTTTTTAAAGAAAGATATCAATGTTACATTGTGTTCAATTATGAAAATATCAGAAATGTTTGAAATCAATTTCACACCTTTTTGTAGACTTGGTCCTTAGGTTTTGTCTGTCCCACACACTTGTAAAGTTTTCGCTGTAGGACTTTGGTGAGAATGTCGCGTGCTTCCTTCAAATTCGGATCTGTTGACATGAGAATGAGGTCAAACACACTGTCAGTCAGTTTGGAATAAGCCTCCATGTCGTGTATGGACTGAGACATTGTGACCAGTTTTCTGAAATCAAACCATATTTCTCATCTTTATTTAACATTAAGCTGAACCACACTGAAATGGTGCAACATCTCATGTTCAATTATATAAACAGGTATATTACATATCACATCTAAAACTGTTTACCAAAATCACATTCTTAAAATCTTCACTATACTTCATTTACAAACTTTGCTAAAATGCTATTTGTAATTCTTACATAATAAGAAGTGCTGTCAAGGATGGATTAATTCTCATTATTTATACATATAAATAAGAGGCCCATGGGTCTTAACGGTCCCCTGATATATTTATACAGAGATTTAATTTTGTTTTTAACATGAACAGAAATATTATTCAAAGTGACAAAAAACAATAAAACCACCTTATTCAATATCTAGCATACAGATTTAAGACTGAAAAGTATTTGAACCTAGCACCTCTGATTCTAAACAAGGAAAATGAAGAAATTTTAGCACACTGGCCCGCCACCCTACAGCCCTTGGGGGTAGGGCTGGCTCAAAATTTTCAAAGTATCAAACTGTCAACTCAGGGTTATAATTCCAATCAAATTATTAACATGTAATATTCAAAGTTTCATTTGCCATTATAAACCATAATAAATTTTGCCCCACCCCCCCCTCCTTCCCCAGGTGGTAAACGTGAGACCCTAGGGTCATAAACCTTAAGACCCTTCCATCTATGAAGAGTGTTTGATTCTACCATATCTGGGTCTTGAGAAGAAGATTTTTGAAATTTCAGTAAATTTGACCTTTTTGACCCCACCCATCAGCCCCGGGGGTCAGTCAGGGCTCATATGTACATACCATTAAACTGCTACCCAATACTGATAATGCTAACCTAAATTTAATTACTTCCAATGGAAATTAAACAAATGTTGGTCCAAAATGTGATTTCCCTATATAAACTATAATAAAGTTTACCCCCCTCCCCAGGGGGAAACATGATACCCAAGGGTCATGAAATTCACAATTTTGGTAGAGCACCTTAAGACCCTTCCATCTATGAAGAGTGTTTGATTCTACCATATCTGGGTCTTGAGAAGAAGATTTTTGAAATTTCAGTCAATTCGACCCTTTTTGGCCCCACCCATCAGCCCCTGGGGGTCAGTCAGGGCTCATAGGTGCATACTATCAAACTGCTACCTAATACTGATAATGCTAACCCAAATTGAATTACTTCCAATGGAAATTAAACAAATGTTGGTCCAAAATGTGATTTCCCTATATAAACTATAGTAAAGTTTACCCCCTCCCCAGGGGGAAACGTGAGACCCCAGGGTCAAGAAATTCACAATTTTGGTAAAACACCTTAAGACCCTTCCATCTATGAAGAGTATTTGATTCTACCATATCTGGGTCTTGAGAAGAAGATTTTTGAAATTTTAGTCAATTTGACCCTTTTTGGCCCCGCCCCTCAGGCCCCTGGGGGCTGGGGACCAAATCAGCCGCTGTTTTTGTTGACCTTTGGCCATGGAAGGTTTCTGCAAAATTTCATTGAAATTGGTTCAGGGGTTTTGGAGAAGTTGAAAATGTAAATTGTTTACGGACGCACGACGGACGTTGCCGGACAAAGGCGATCGCAATAGGTCAATTCAGACTTTGTCTCAGGTGACCTAAAAAGTGATAACACAAATTGAACTGTTAAAATTGAAGATGGCTGTCTGGTGGCCATCTTGTTTTCCAATCAGTCCCAAAATCAATATGCATAAGAAAAGACCATGGGGAACCTTAATGTCAAACTTGAGACAGATCCTTCTAGGACATTCTGAGAAATTGTGCTAACAACCTTTAACTCACAAAATTCAAGATGGTAACCTGTCGGCCATCTTGGTTTTTCCATCAGTCCCAAAATTTCATATACATAACTAGGGGGCCATGGGAAACTTTCATGTGAAATTTGAGAAAGATCACTTTCTGACAATGAACGCTCACAAACTTTAACTCTCAAAATTCAAGATGGGTGACTGTTGGCCATCTTGGTTTTCAGATCATTCCGAAAGGACCACAGACGAAGGGTGATTCGAATAGCCCACCATCTCATGCTGAAAAGCTAAATATCCATTTACAAAATGATTCTTATCCATTAAAATGTTTTTTTTCTGATGATTTTCCTCATGTGGTAAAATATGCTGAAACCAGTGGGCCTACTAGTACTAGCAAAATTACATCTAGAAAGCACTCCAGCTACCTGTAAGGGGATAGGACATGGGGAAGTTACTCTTCCAGTCTTCCTTGAGACAAGAAGCCCAGAGGGCCTATATCGCTTACCTGAATATTTAAGCAGTCATAGCAAAATATTCTCACTACATATATTGCACTACAAATATTTCCCTCGCAAACTTTGTCGGCTCCATCTGTTGACACTACCAGTCAAATATTATTATAAGATTCTATGCTTTTTGGTTCTTCTTCAGAGTTCATTGACATATTTTTCCCTGTGACCTTGTAAGTAGGTCAATGTCATTTTCCTTCTCATACTTTGTTAGCTCTATCCCAAAAAGCTACCAGACAAATCTTATGAATCCATGCCATTTGGTTCTTAAGAACAAATCCTTTAAAATGCTGTTGATCTCTCGTCCTTTAAGGTAGGTTGAGGTCATTTTCATTCGCAAACTTTGGTGAGCTCTATCCTAGGAAGCCACCAGCCAAATATTATAATTTTATGCTTTCGATTATGACATATTTGACACCTGTAACCTTGAAAGAAGGTCAAGGTCATTTTCATTCTCAAACTTTGTCGGGATCTATCTCAGGAAGCCAACAGCCAAATATAAAGATTCTATACCTTTTAGTTCTTCAGAAGAAGTCGTTTAAAGAGTTTTTACATATTTGACCGCTGTGACCTTGAAAGAAAGTCAAGGTCAATTTCATTCTCAAACTTTATCGGGCTCCATCCAAGGAAGCCAACAGCGAAATATGCAGATTCTATACCTTTTAATTCTTCCGAAGAAATCATTTGAAGCGTTTGACATACCTGACCGCTGTGACCTTGAAAATATGTCAAGGTCATTTTCATTTTCAAACTTTGTCCGGCTCCACCAAAGGAAGCCACCAGCCAAATATGGAGATTCTATACCATATAGTTCTTCAGAAGAAGTCGTTTAAAGTGTTTGACATAGTTGACAGCTGTGACCTTGAAAGTAGGTCAAGGTCACTTTCATTCTCAAACTTTGTCCAGCTCCACCCAAGGAAGCCACCAGCCAAATGTGAAGATTCTATACCATATAGTTCTTCAGAAGAAGTGGTTTAAAGTGTTTGACATAATTGACAGCTGTGACCTTGAAAGTATGTCAAGGTCACTTTCATTTTCAAACTTTGTCCGGCTCCACCCAAGGAAGCCACCAGCCAAATATGAAGATTCTATACCATTTAGTTCTTCAGAAGTCGCTTGAAGTTTTTGACATATTTGACCCCTGTGACCTTGAAAGTAGGTCAAGGTCATTTTCATTCTCAAACTTTGTCAGGCTCCAACCAACAAAGCAATCACCCAAATATCATGACTCTCGGCCTGTCCATTCTTCAGAAGAAGTCGTTAAAATGAAAAGTTGACGGATGACGACGACGGACGGAGCACCATGACATAAGCTCATTTGCCCTTCGGGCAGGTGAGCTAAAAACTGACAAACTGCCTATACCATAACATACAACTGCTACTTACCCATCAGCTCCTAGAAACTTGAGGTGTTCGTCAGCCTTCAAAAATGCCTCTGTTATCCTGGAATACAAACATTTTCAGAATCAAATTTTCAAAAAACAGATGCATATGACCGAAGATGATCAATTTCATTGCGTTCTATGGTGATGTACTGATACATTTTGTTGTTTGTCCTGGTGCCCTTACAACCTTCTACTACAGTGAATCATTCTTATATTCATCATACAGTAACACATTAGTAAGCTGTACTTACATCCTATAGTAACACATTAGTAAGCTGTACTTACATCCTACAGTAACACATTAGTGAGCTGTACTCACATCCTACAGTGACACATTAGTAAGCTGTACTTACATCCTACAGTAACACATTAGTAAGCTGTACTTACATCCTACAGTAACACATACGTGAGCTGTACTTACATCCCACAGTAACACATTAGTAAGCTGTATTTACATCCGACACATCCTACAGTAACACATTAGTGAGCTGTACTTCCATCCTACAGTAACACATTAGTACAGCTTACTAATGTGTTACTGTAGGATGTACTTACATCCTACAGTAACCCATTAGTGAGCTGTACTTACACCCTACAGTAACACACATTAGTGAGCTGTACTTACCTCCCAGAGTAACACACTAGTAAGCTGTACTTACATCCCACAGTAACACACTAGTAAGCTGTACTTACATCCTACAGAAACACATACGTGAGCTGTACTTCCAGCCCACAGTAACACATTAGTAATCTGTACTTACACCCTACAGTAACACACATTAGTAAGCTGTACTTACATCCCACAGTAACACACTAGTAAGCTGTACTTACATCCTACAGTAACCCATTAGTGAGCTGTACTTACATGTGTTCTATGATGGCATTCACTCTATGCTGGTAGGCTCGCTTGTGTAGTGTTACACGCGTGTTAAACATGTCCTATAGCGTCTGGACTTCCTAAAATCACACGGTATCATTAGTCAATATATGTTAACAACAAGCCCAATTGATTTCCAGTTTTAATTTTAGATATTTTTCCTTTTAACATCATAGATCTACGAAAGATATAAAAAACTTTTATTATATTTGACCCCTGTTGTTAAAAAGAAGTTCATTATTATGAACAAAAATTCATAGCCAAGTATCTGGAACTACATGACATCTAGAACACTGACAGGCCAGCAAGGGCTTGCTGCCATGAGCCTGGTTGGTACAACGGTCTATATTTTGTAACAGTAAACTTTTAAAATCCCTATTGCACATCTACATAACAGAGTGTATCACCATGTCAAACAAAAGGATTGAACTTTCAAATTCTATGATAAGGACTGTACCCCATGTTTTTTTTTAATTTTTTTATGGTGATCTTGACCTTACCCTTAGAATTTTTAAACCTCTTTTGCACATCTGTAGATTACAGTGTATTACCATGACAAATTTCAAAAAGATAGAACTTTCAATTTTATGAGATGAGAATTGTCTATTTTTAACAACAGACTTACCTGTGACCTTGATCTAGACCTTAGATACATGATATTTTTAGGGACCTCTTGCACATCTACATTTCAAAGTATATCACCATGTCAAAATGTAAGAAAGATAAGTCTTTTTAGATTTCAAGATAATCTCTGCCAATGAAAGTATGGGCGGACAGAGACGGACAGATAGACACTAATTACTACCTGCCACCACGTCTCTGATGTGGGGCCCTAAATATCATGACTCTAGGCACTTTGGTTCTGTAGAAATGTTCTTTTCATAGAGGGACTGATAGAGAGACTTGTAGTCGGTTATCATTCTTATATTACTAGATTTATTTGTATACAGAGAAAAAGTCAGGAAATATAACCATGATAACCAATCTTCAGTCATTAAAAGCGATGTTAGTGCTTCAAGAATGACACTAATCGGTGGATAATACAGATTTATATATTGTTTGGTGTTAACAACTAGTTGGTGACTGTTAACTGCTTCTCACCACCAAATACTCATTCTCTGTTCACTCTCTGACCATTTTAAATATTCACCCTCTGACTATTTTAGATATTCACTCTCTGACCATTTTAAATATTCACTCTCTGACTATTTTCAATATTCACTCTCTGACTATTTTAGATATTCACTCTCTGACCATTTTCAATATTCACTCTCTGACTATTTTAGATATTCACTCTCTGACCATTTTAAATATTCACTGTGACTATTTTAGATATTCACTCTGTGACTATTTTAGATATTCACTCTGTGACTATTTTAGATATTCATTCTCTGACTATTTTAGATATTCATTCTCTGACTATTTTAGATA